ATTCAGTACTGAATCAGACCGTACCTTATTAAAATATTAAAGGGAATTACTTAACTGGGCTTTATTAATTTATATTGGAATATAATAGACAAAATGGCCTTCATTGATAAATAGACTAAATATGGTGATAACGTTTGATTTATTTTTTTGTCTTAGACTTGGCCTTTCCTTTTTTTCCTTTTGATTCTTTGTATAGGACCATTAATACTATTTACTATTATTACTGGTTACCACGATTTTAGAAACCAAAACTGCAACATTTTCAGCTGCTGTGGGTGCACTGTGTTCATTGCACTGTGTCAAACGGACTAAAATCTTTAAGCCACCTGTTCCCCCCTTCACCTGTGATGGTGCTGCACCATCACAGGTGCAAGAACCACTGAAATAAACGATGCAGAAACCTCTGAAGAAGACACTTTTCATGAAATGTAAACAAAAATGGAGTGGTGTAAGATTTTAGCGGTTGTAGAATTTTTCTTTAGTCTTTGGCTAAAAACTACGAATCATTTCTCCTGCTAGCATTGGACTCACATGTTTGTTTTGGCTGTGTTTACCCACAATGCCCTATGCTGTAGTCCTCTTCCTGTTTTTGGAGCGGTCTCTGTTTTACTTGGCATTCACATGTATTCTAACCACACCAGACTTCATTTAAATTAAACTGAGAGCCAAGTTGTCTTTTTAACCTCATCAGAGGTTGATTGCACATTCACATCTTCCCAAATAAACCAGACTTTCTAGGAAAATGAACTAGAGTTCATGTAAAACAGGGCTGGTGTGACTGCACCTTATTTACACACAGAAAAATTCTAGTTTTCTAGTTAGCCTTCAGGCAATTGGTTAACCTAGTTTTATTTCTATGACCAATTTATATAAGGCATATCCAAATAATGGGGGTGAATATAAATTTGTACTTACAGTTTTTGGATTCTTAGTTCTAAAACATTTTGAAAACCTTGGGGCATTGTCCTGAGAATTCACAGATATGCCCTGCTTTGTGTTTGTTTTCACAGAAATTCTACCATGAATCTAATAAACTAGTGTTTATCTCCTGACACATATTAATTATAGGCACTGCATTTGTTAAGCTATGATTAGAAGGGTCATGAGTTAAATTACAACTTATGTAGAGTATGGGTTGATGTAGGGTTGGTTTGATGCTAATCTTGTGTGTAAGGCAGATATCAAAGAATCTGTTTAATGGGTTTGGATGATTTGTACAGTGATGTTAAAAATTCCAGATCAGAATAATTCCCTGAGGTTTTCCTGACTTTTCATGTGAAAATCACATATATATATATTTCAGGGTTAGTATAGACATGAAATGCTCACAGTCCTGTTTTGTTTGCTCCTAAGGTCATAAAGGCAATAGATGAAGGCTACCGACTCCCAGCGCCCATGGACTGCCCTCCAGGCTTGCACCAGCTAATGCTGGACTGCTGGCAGAAAGACAGAGCCGAGCGTCCAAAGTTTGATCAGATTGTTGGCATCTTGGATAAAATGATCCGCAACCCTAACACCTTGAAAACCCCAGTGGGAACATGTACAAGGTAAGGAAATAGAACCTTAAATAACTCATTTTAGAGGTGATCCCCTGCAATAAAGAATTTCTACTTTTATTTCAGTGCATTAATAGATGATCTAAAGTGTCCCATGGATGATTTAGCCTCTCTTGTTCAAAGACAGAAAATAATTCCAGGAGAATCGATTGGAATAGCAGCCTCTATATGGCTTTATGGTCAATAAGAGGGCTTTTAAATCAATCTCTGTAATGAGTTCCTAGTACTTTGGAGAGCAGAGGGAGTGCCAGCCCTCACTCCAACATTTGTCAGATGAATTCTATTTGCAATCAGACCACACTTTGCTAAGGTGAAATTAGAGGTTACAACTGGTTAAAAAGCCTTTTATTATATGGATACTGCAGGAGATGTATTCCCCAATCTATTTTAAATTGAAATGATACTGATAAAAATCTTTTTCTAAGTAGAAGCTGACATTGTTCATCTACTTATGAGTTTTATTTGGATCAAAGCCTCGATGCAACACATTTTTTCCCTGCTTTTCCCAATTTACCGCCCTGCTGGATGCCGTTGGTTGCTGCTTTGTTTCACCTCCTGCTTGATTATGATGTCAGCGGAACACTTCCTTTCCACATTAGACATAAATGTCTCTCTGTGCTCATCTTGCAGACCAATTAGCCCCCTCTTAGATCAGAGCACACCAGACTTCACCACTTTTCGCTCAGTAGGAGAGTGGCTGGAAGCCATCAAGATGGAGCGATACAGAGACAACTTCACTGCAGCCGGCTACAGTTCCTTGGAGTCTGTAGCCAGGATGTCAATAGAGTAAGTAGATATGAAGCATCGTGGAAAGGCATTAAAATACTTCACTATTTTTAATCTCCATATATATAGTGAGAATTTCAATTCAACTACTTAACTATAAAAGCCTAGAAGAAATTATAAATCAATTAAACTCAAGTTTCTGCTGTCTTGATATCATCCCCACAACTTTCCTGAAGAAAGTCCTGTCTGTCATTGTGTCTGATCTGATTCATATTGTAAACTCAAGTGTTCAAACCAATGACAAAAAAGAACAATCTGGAATTACAGGCTGCTCTCCAACCTCCCATTCATCTGAAAAACATATTGAAAAAGCTGTTTCAACAGTTAAATATCTTCCTAACTATAACCAACTACTTTAATGTCTGTCAGTCTGGTTTCCATGGTTACCATAGTACTGAGATTGCCCTGGTCAAAGTGTTCAGTGACATCCATATGAATATGGACTGTGAAACGACTGGAGAGTTGGGTAAGCCTCTCTGGTCTAGTACTCAGCTGGTTCCAGTCTTGCATAAAGAACTGAGAAATTCTGCCATAAATTAGAACGTCTCATGATTGGGGTGGGAGTTGTGGGTTTTTTTTTTTTTTTATTCCACTATAGATCCTGTAGCAGTCATTACCATGGGTGATTGAAATACAGAGACACATGGAAATGAAGAAACAAACATGCAAATAGCTGAAATCAAAATGGGTCACAATGTAAAGTGTGACATCATCATGATCTAAAGCTTCTCTCATACATTCAGCTATGTATATTGACATGGCTGAAAACGTTATACAGGTCAAAACATGTTGTATAGTTAGAAATTATTTAGTTTATCAATAATGCATCAGGCTTATGATCATCCTTATGTTAAATAATGCATTAGTGTTGGTATGGAGGGTTTGAAATTTAGTGCCACAGAGTCACAACAAAGTCTTTTTTGCCATGACAGATGCCTTTTTCCTAATTCCTCATGATCTCATGACCATATTGGGATGAAAGTACATCCCTCTACACATTGTGTATAAGTGTCCCCTAGTGATCAAAAAATTATTACCTAATTAATCAGAGAAAAGGTTGGACTGCCATGCGGTTAACAATACTTCAAGCATTTAGAATAATGAGGTTAGGCCTGTCACCATCACTTTGCTGGGCGAGATATTGACCCATAAATGATTGGGATGAAACATAATATTATTAATTAATACAATGTTAAATGGCATAATAATGCAGATATGCCCTCTCAAAGATCAATACTAATGTCTAAAGGTAAGGTAATTTTATTTATATAGCACATTTTCAGCAACAAGGCAATTCAAAGTGCTAAAGATCATTTAACACTAGAACTAGAAGACATTTTAATTATTCAAAATAAATAAACCAAAAACAAATAAAATTGATTAAGAAGTCTTTGTAAACAAACCTGACCTTCAAAATATATTAATCTTTGGGCTCAGACAGGAAAAACAGGCAATACTGCCAGTTAGGACTTTTGTGAAAACAGTGTGAACTTACTACTTTTTACTGGGTGTTAAATGTTTACAGCAGTTTTTGAAATGCTGGTTTTACAATGAGATGAAAGGGTAGCATCTCTTTAATAATTAAGCAAATTGTCTTAAGTGCAAAAGGAGTTTTAGTGAGCACAATTTTGTGATGTCCTTTTTGTAATTTTTGTCTGGTAAACAAGTGAGTTTGGACTGTCACTCAGACAGAATTGTAGTGTTTCTGTTTTTTATTTTTGAAGCTTAAATCAGATGACTACATTTTAGACACTTGAAACATGAGACAGAAACATGTTTAGTTGCTATTGTTTTACAACAAGTTCAACGTACCCGCTACACACTTTAAGTGGTTGACCACTTCCACTCAGTCTGAATTCAAAGTGATCACAGACTGCAGCTGTCATGTTCAGCGTTTTCTCCAGCGTTTCCCTGGATTGCTCCTTCCCTCAGGCATTCATGCTATGCTGTGCGGTAGCAGGCAGGTAACTGATGCCAGAGCTTAGTTGTCCTTGACGCACAAGGAGTGGCAAGCCACAGTGGCAGACCAAAGTCATCACGACCCACGGTGAAGCCAACACATGTGACGCAATAGTGACTACTGTCGCAAACGCTAAACATTTTTTTTAACTTTATTTTGTTCATATCATTTCTCATGAACAAATTTCTTCGGTCGATAGCAAGAAAAGCACAAGCGATTGTCGCCTCATCGCACAAGTTCCAGGGGTAACGAACAGAGCCGCATCACCTCATGTGTTGAGCCCGTTATGCTTTTTCTGCAAGGTGAAGATATTTTTCATCCAGTCTCTGGTAGAAAATGAGAGAGACGTGACAAAAACAAACAAGCATGCAAGTGGAACACATCAACCTCATTTTAATTTATCATGCAAAAAATTGATTTATTGCAACAGTCCTAAATTAGGTGAACAAATCAAGCATCTGCATAGAATGGCATTAGATTAAGTTGTGTTAGTGAGTCAGTACTGCAAAGCATTAATTCAGTCTATCAACCAAATGTTCCAGGATTGTTCCAAAGGCATTTTTGATGTGCTTTTTGGATATGCTGCAGATGTATCATGTATCATGCTAAACATTTTGATGGAAACAGAGGAAAGATATTTGATAGAACATGATAGCATAAAAATTTCAGTAGATAAAAATGACTTCCTAAAAATAAGTTGCAGAGAATGCCACTGTTATGCTGTCTGTTTTATTACCAGAGCTTTTGTAATAACAGGTCTTATTCAGATTTTCACATGCTTGACTTTGTTAATGCTGTTTTTTTTTCCATTTTCACAATGCAGAGTTTATATGCTCAACAAGAGTTCTGCGTGTTTCGGTTCCACCCAGAGGAGCTGAGCTCATTTTTCAACAACCGCTTCATTCACATCTCTTTTATCAGCATGGATTTATACATCCACAGAAACTGTTATTTCCCTGCCTGCTAGTTTGCTCTGCTTATTAGTTTAACACTATACATGAGCTCTAACCTCATATGCTACAAAGAACTACTGTCTCTTAAAAACAATTCATCTAAAGCCTTCTCTCATTTTAGGGCTAAAAGAATACAGCGAAAATTCCCTTCTATACACGAGGCGGTTCACTGACTCCTTCCGTTACGCTTTTGTCTTGTATCATTTCTCAAAAGCTGTCTTCATAAGCATGCAAACACTGGATTGCCCATGTATATCTATTTTTAGAGCTAAATCAGGTCACTCCATTAATGCCATTGCTTTTCCCAACAAAAGACAGAAGAACTTGTTTCTGCCGTTGGTTTGATCAGATGAGCCCTCAGATAAAATATACATCTATAGTGGGGAAAAGTATTGAACAGGCCTGTCAGTAATAAGCAATAAATCAATTGCCTGATAAATTAAAATGAGCTCAATTTGCATGATTTATCTCTTTTTCTCCTTTTGAAGGGCGATTTTGTTTACAGAGACTTCATAGTTTATTTTTTTGTTGTTTTTGTTATTCTATTTTTTTTATTTTGGATATTTCAATTGTCTTCCAGTTCCAGTGTTAGATGTTCATTCGAAACTAACTTTTATTGATCTTTGAGAATGTGTTCTTGCATTGTTGTGCCATAACCATTATGTTTCTTGCAAATTGTCTCTAAACAACAATATTATGGCTTATTGCAACAACTTCAGGGAAAATGTATCGTCCAGCAAACTTTTACAACATTTTCTGTATAGTACAAGGTCCTGATAGAGCCCTTTGTTTTCACCCGTCATAAGATGTTTCTGGTGTGATATATCTTTACAATGAGAACCTAATTTAAACTAAACTAGCTGGTTTTAACTGGCAGTGCTTACTTCATAAATGGTGATGGATTTAACTTTCTATGTCCTATTTCTTCATGAATATCTGCTCAGTGTGTAATTGTACTTCATCATACATAATGTATGGACTGTTTGGTTTTCATGAATTCTTTCCAGTTTCTGGTGGAAATTTTGTCAGTAGTTGACATGCTGAGAACTTATTTTCTCAGCTGTGTATAATGTAAAAATCTGTTCATTGAAAAGAGACTTGAGTCTATAACAGGCTCCATTTGTACAGTGATGGATGTGTTGTCTTGCAGGGATGTGATGAGCTTAGGAATCACACTAGTGGGCCACCAGAAAAAGATCATGAGCAGCATACAGACTATGAGAGCCCAGATGCTGCACCTTCATGGTACAGGAGTCCAGGTGTGACACGCTGCAACGGGACGCCTCTGTCAGGGTAAAAACACTAAGGCAGGACTAATCTGGAGCAGCGCCTGGTCAAAGTACACGGATATCTGCTGTGTCTGACTCCTCCTACTGCGTCTGGAGGGAAATCATTCCTTTGTTCCTCAGCGAAGGAATGAGGTCCGTTTCTTCAAAGGGCCCTAAAGAGAGGAAAGGGCAAGAAGCAGCGACAAAAATCAACTACCTGTATGAGATGACTTGTTTTTCTTTCTTATTTGTAGACGCGCTTAAGAACTCAACTACATATCAAGGGGCGAGTCAGAAATGAGTTTTATTACCTTAATGATGGAATTAAGCGCACACCATAGATGTGAATTTCCTTTACAAAGCAAATGGAAATTGCTTTGGTTCCTTTTTCTACAGTCTTTATTTTCTGTGTGCTTGCCACAAGGAAATACTGTGGCATCCACAGGACTTGTTTTCCTCCTGGTCCTTGGATGTGACAACAGGGTAACTCTTATCCAGATGCCGACAGAGCTTTGCGTTGCAGATTTCAAGGGACTGTTTGTGCTGAGTCGTGCAGAACTGAGCTGGTTGCAGTTTTTGTCTTTCCTTTAACTTGTTTTTAACATCCTTATTGCATCCCAACATGCTTGTTTGCAGCCCAGGAAATGGGGTATGTCGCAATCTTCAGACTTTTGAATAAGTTTGCACAATAAAGGCAAACTTTTCCTCTAGTCACATGGTTTTTATATCAGAGTAGCAATATCTATTAGTCAGAATTCACAACAGGACACAAAGTCTTAGAACTTATGAAAATCTGCGAGCACAGTTCAAAGATTGTATTCAATTTGCAGCCACTCTGTAGTTCTGCTATCATTCTGCCTAAAATCTTGCACATAGTTTGTTCCTGCAAATTGGATGGTGTTTAAGGTTGGATCTCGGAACAGAGGAGATGTCATACTGCCTTAAAACATATTTAGATTTAGTATTTACAATGCTTTAGGTACTTTAATGGCGATGCTATGTGTGGCTCCTTTAGAAGTTTTTGTCATTTTTTTTCTTGTGGTGTGATGTCTTCTTATCTGTGACTAGATCTGGTGTGCACAAACTCAGACTATTACCAGGAATGACAGATTCAGTCGGGAAGAGATTGACTAAAAGAGCAATAATTACCAGGGAGAAGCAGTCTTCAACAGAGATCCTTTATGGTGCTATGTATGAAAAGCATGTGTGTGCTACTGTGTGCTGACAAACCCTTTGGAAAGATTCTGTCGCCCCCAGAAAGGAGAAGGAATGTACCTCTGTGACCTAAAATGCTTTGGAGCGCGCTCAGAAACGTGCCATGCCAAGTCATCAAATGAAATAGTCATGTTGTGTTTTGCCTTTATGATATGGTAAACATTTGATGAAAATCTAACAAAGCATGGAAATGTCAAGCTGAGTTGTCGCAAAGATGAAAGTGGCACCATTTGAAACTCTAAAAAGGTGCAAATTAGCCATGCTAACATCATCCTCCAACACATTGCACCACCCAGATATCAAAGAGATCCTTTGGGGTTGGCGTCTGAAAAAAACCCGGGACCAAAGGATGGAGTCTTCATCAGACGCAGGCCTTGCTGGTAAATCCTTCCGTCCTGGCTCCGCGGGCAGCTGCGCAGCTCCTCTTGTTTATTTATGCGTCTCCGCCGCTCTTCCCTCACAGGCGTGGATGTGACGGAACATGCATTGAAATATGCTCCTCTTTTTTTCCGTGTGACTTTGTGTGGAAAACAGAGCAGAAGCAGAGGCACGATGTGTTTTAAGGCTGATCAACCTCTTTGGTGCCATCTGTCGCTACTTCAAAAACGAAAAAATGTTTTCTTGTTAACTGAATGTGACTTATTGCAATTTTCTTTGATATAAAGATGTATTTATTCAACTGTCATAATATGGGGGGTTGGGTCACTGACAACAATCATTGCAATTTATTTCACTGCTGCCAGAACCTCCTAATATTGTATTAATGTATTCCTGAATGTTTCACCTCCAGGACATAGAGAAACAAGATTTTTAGTGAAACAGAAGCTTGAGTCTTATCCAAGCTCTGTGGCATTTCTGTGCTTCATTCACATCTTTCTGATGCAAGAAAATGGGAGATAGACCCAGTCACTAAAAACAAGAGATGGAAAAAATGGTTTGCAGCATGATCACGGCTATCTTTCTCATTGAGCATTTTAAGATCAACTGACATGAAAGAATCAAATGTCCAGGTATCGTAAATTCCGGACTAAAACAAAAAGAAAAAAAGGGGTTCACATTTAGCCCCCACTCATCTGACATGAGTTATTTACACACAAAGGTTTTTGGATTTTTTTTTTTTTTTACTTTTAATGAATTATCTACCTGTAATACAAACAGGTAAATGCTTTTTCCCAAACGTGCATGTGATATGATCATTGAGTGCTATCTTCATCTTCCTCTTGTACATTAAAGCCACTAAAGTCGTCTTCTTCATCTTCTTCAGTGACATTCTCACACAGATTTCCTCAGTCTCTCTTTGTTGTCACTCTCAATGTCACTTTCATCTTAAGGCAAATTTGCTATTGACCTTGTGCTGTCCTCTTCATCACGCAGCAGTCCAGCCTTTCCAAACACGCTAACTAAGAATTTGCTACTGAAGATGGAGTCTGGCCCTTTGTGTTTTGTGCACTCCGGTTTAATGGTAAAAGTAATACGCAGCAGTAGCAGCCACTGCATGCAAATTGAACAAATAGATACAATGTAAATGCAACAAAAAACATTCAGATTCAATCTCCTTAAATTCTTTGGATGTTTTTCAAGGCAGTGGATGTTCTTACTGTTTCATTTAGGCTGATGCTTTCCGTCAGGTGATTAGTTTCTGATGTTTGAAATTAGCTGATTGTCATTTTTAACACAATACTTTGTTTTCATTTGTATTAAAAGCTGATTTTGTGTGAAAGTTCTTTTTTATGCAAACACATTTGACTAACTGAAATAAACTGACCCAGTTTATTTTTAAATGAACATGGAATGAGATATGCATCTGATTCTTTTTTTTTTTGTTTTGTTTTGGTTTTTTTTTGCTTCAAGATAGACAGCAGTAGCCGACTTATAGTAGGTTTTATTCACTGTGGGCTTCACCCTTGGTGAACAGACACCAGGAATTAGCCCTGACCAGAACTCCTTGTCACACATCCCCTTCTTTCATCTATACAGCAGAGCTCAGCAGTTGGGTTTCGGCCAGGCCTTTGAATTGAATACAGCATGAAGTCATTCAGTCAGCACAAAACTCCCTAGTTTACAGACGGCACCCCCTTTCTCTCACCCAGCTCTTTACTTCATGGTGTGATTTTCTAGCCTGACTCTAAGATGCCTCACTCCCATTTTTTTCTGGGCTTGGGAGGCAGCAGTTGAAGCCAAATTGAGATTACTGCCAGGTTACAATTGATTCAGCGAACGAATCACCTGCAACTTTCACAAACCAGTTTCTGATTATTTTTATTGGCATACTGTAATTCAGGTCACTTAGCTCTGGATAAAAAGGTTTTGATGTGAAAAAGGTTATTTCAGCAGTTTGTGTTTTTTTTAAGTATAATGTACAAAAAGACAAAAAAGGAGTAGTGGTTGAAATCAGAAATGACAGTCTATAAAGTTATTTTTCAAATCAAGATGTCAAGCAGCTGGACATTACCTTTTTGGGGAGGAAGTGGATAATTCCAAAGACAGCCACACTGTCGATTGTGTCAGAAAGAGCAGAGCTCTGAGGGGATCTTTGACTACGTTTGAACTGTAAAACTTGTACATTTTATTTATATTGTTTGTTTTTTATGGCTATTCCTTAGTAGAGAGCTCTGATTACATGGAAAATGCACTATATTTTTGTATATCACAGATGAATTATTGTCATCCACAAGATTTCAGTTGAAGATATTTTGTTTTCCATTTAGGACCAAAGACAGCTGATAGGATGTTCATTTTGAATCTAGACTTTGTTTTCATGTTGCCTTCAGTTTCTTGTACAGTGATGCAAATTTTTGATTTAATATTTATTTTTTTGTGATGAAAGCATTGAGAATATTCACTGGTCAAAAAGTATTTTCCCTAACAGCGGAAATGTGAGATGATTTAAATTAGATAATTTCTTTTACATAGACAATTCTTTTTGCTTTGTAATCTTTGTAATAGACTGTACATATATTTTTGGAAATATAATACAATCTCTACAGAAATGCCTTGTGTCCTTTGTGATTCATTTATAAATATGTAATTAGATGGTTTTGTGTTTATTTTCTTTCGTCTTCTCTTTTTTCTTATTGAACCATAATATCAAATGTTTTTTTTCTTATATTTTAATCATTTCAGAAGTTCTATGATCCTGGGGATTTCCCAGGGCATTCTGTACCCCACCATTCAGCAAACCTCACCCGCTTTTATGCGGACCAGAATGCCTTCTGGAGGGTCCAGTCAGGCCTTACAGAGGGAGAGAACTGAGAGGCCGGAGCTCCTGCCCCTTTTGTCCTTGATGCCCCAAGTGCCCTTTTTTGAGTTTTTGTCTTATTTAATCTGTGCATCAGGAGGCCTGCTTGTGACCCTCAACAAGAATATTTAGCTAAAAATAACAACTTTGCAAAATAAATGAGTCTGGCTGCCCTCAGTCTAATAATGACTGAACTGACTCTCAGTGCCTCAGCCTCCATGTTGTTAGCACTCTGGGCTTTATTCTATCATTCTGCCCCAGTGCTGGACTAAATTCCCAGTCACCCCAACGCACCTCAAAGCCCTGGTATCACCTGCTCATTGTCTGCTCTTTGCTTCACCTTAACCTAACGTTACTACCAGGCGAATTTGTACCGCTGCTGATGGGATCTGGGCTGAAAGTGAGCTTCCAGCAGAGAGATGCGCAGCAGGTGGAGCAGGTCTAGCTCTTCATGCAGGGCTGTGCCACGGTAATATGGGGCCTTAGGCAGAATCTGATAGAGATCCCGGTCCCCCTTTCCTACTAAAACCATGAGCATCACTTACATTATTTAAAAATAGATTTAGTAAAGTTTGAGATTGGGCCCACGTTAATTGGCCGAGCCTAAAATCACTCACTGATTATTGGATATTTACTGTGATTCTATTCTACAACTTCTTGTTGTATGACAGTGCGGCATTTTCTCCATGGTAACTAAAGATTATGAAGTACAGTATATGAACCTTATTCTTCTTACCTTGTAAAAAGTCTTGGCTGCACTTCTGGAGGGCTGCCTGCCCTTAAGGTTAACGACTGTTATCCATGATCGTCTTCTTTGCTAATGAAAAAAATGACAAGCGTGGTTTGTATCCTTGTTTGCTGATCAGCACCCCATGGCCAATTTTACCATGAAATCAACTGAATAAAAGTGACTTTAGGATACTGTCTGTTTTTCCTCAAACTTTACAGGAGCCAATTGGTTGTTTTGATGTCCATCATGTGGACCCCTTTCCAAAAAGAGTCTGTTATTTTGGGGGATCGGGGGGGGGCAGGGTGGGGGATTGTACTGAACTGTTGAGTTGTCTTTTCTAAAACCTGTAAAACATTTGTACCTGCTTACTTGATGAGACAGTAAGATCTCTTCTGGCCATCCTATAAACTCCCTCCTTTTAAATCAGCCATAAACGTCAGTTCCTCAGCAGAGATTAAAAGGATTTCATTTGATCACATATTTAAGCAGTCCCAGTATTTGTTGTGGGGTGTCCATTAGTGGCTCTATGCTGCTTCCAAGTCTGCTCAGCTGTCTATGTGAAGCCAAGGTTCAGGTTTCATGAGATTTTGTTTTTTCATTAACTGCACAATCTGTCCCAGCTTTAGTGTTTTCATTTGCAGAAGTAACAAGGTTTTTAAAATGGAGTAAAGTAGCGATATCTCAACCTTCATACCTTCATCTAAAGATGAATTTGTAATTTTAGCATTTCATTGAAGCTCTGTCTTCCTCATACATGATTCACTTTCTTCACCAGGTTGCCCCTTCTCATGGTTTCTTCTGTTAGAAAACTTCAGGAGTTATTCACAGATTATGCTGCAGCTTTTGTGTTGATAAAAATTCCAAAATTACCAATGTTATTTAAAATACTAAGGAGAAAGGCAGAGGGGAGGACCTATAACAGCAAAACATAAGAAATTGAGCTTTGAGTGCCATCTTTAAAAATAATTTTGAAAAGCAGAACATCATTTATTTCTAAAGTGTATTTATATGAAAGGCACAATATAAAGTTGATTTTGGCCAGCATGAAATTAAAAATGGTCATTTTTTTCTCCTACAAAGAGATCCAAAGAGCGATGAGCTGAAAGCTGGGTATGTTGCAGCAGTTTGGCAGCTGAAAGCCCTGAACGCAACATGCAGACGGGGGAAGCATCTGAATGTCACGTCCTTGAGAAAAAATAAATAAATCTCAGTCAATATTTGGCAGAAGATGTGAGTGAAGTGTGTGAACCCTCAACTAATCTATTGTTCGCTGAAGCCTCTGATCTGAACTTCAGTGGCAACACATCCAAAAAGGTGATGGATCCAATCTTCAAATTCCAATTATGAACATAAAATATGAATAGAATGGAGAGCATTTTTTTGTAATGTTATTTTTCTGCACAATGTTCATGCCTCACACAATGCAGCAAACATCCATCTGTGTGTTGAGCACCATCAGTGGTGGATTGACCTCCTCAGGGTTTCGGAAGCAGAGTGAAATCATCCTGACAGAGATTTGAAAAAAAAGCTGCTCATTTCCACACAGTGGGACGTCTCGACAGCTACAGCTAAATTACAGCATAATCAACATGTTCGTTTGTTTCAATGATTACATTTATTTATAGAAATGTCAAACTCCTGAGCAG